ATTGATTTTCAAAAAGTGCTAAGCACTAATTCTCTGTAAATCCGGCCCCTTCAAGGTGTTTCCAGTTGGGCGTCTAAAAAATGAGGCACTCAAAATAAATAGCCTACTTTTGAAAAATCTTTATATTTTTCATTTTATCCTTGTAAAATCACTTATATAAATGAGATTAGTCTATTTTCTATGAATCTGTCCTTTCTCTGCATGTTTGTCCTTGTTACTACAGCAAAATACATACAATTATGTCTTAATACAATAATAATATTTAGCTCTTTTCATCTGTAGCTCTTAAAGGAAGATAAATATCATTATCTGGGGAAACTGAGACTAAGCGAGGTTAAATAACTTCCCAAAGCCACTGAGTCAGCAGAGGCAGGGACTGGAATAAAACCCAGCTTTCTTAATGCTCACACCACTGCCCTATTCTCTGGGTCATAGTGAGTATGTCTATACTACAATTAAATGCCACCTGACTTGTGTTCACAGGATTTGAGCTAAGAGGCTGTTTAATTACATTGTAGACTTCAGGCCCGGGCTGGACAGCGGGCTCTGGGAACCTGCTGGGGGGGCGTCGACATACCCAGTGTCTTCTATCATTCTCTTTAATAGAAGGATACATACATTGGTATTAGTATCATCCTGCTGCTGTTTTGCTAATTAATAGTTGATACTCAGATAGTTCTTTCAACATAGTACAAAATACTTTGTTATTGATATAGAACCCAGAATGAACTGTAGGCATTTGATGGCCAGTTTTGGTTAATAAAATTAAAATGCTGAAGAATACGCAGAAGATTGGATCATATGACAATATGCAGTAATGTTTTTACAAACAGTTGTACTGTGCAAGATATTGTCTGAATCAATATTTTCATTTTTCTCTGAGTAGCCATGTTTATATTTAGAATTTTACTAACATGCCAAAATATTTCAAGCACAAAACAGCATGAATGCTTTGCAAACAAGACATTAAAGCAACCAGCACAACCATATGAGTTAGCAAATTAGGCTGGCTGGTGACAAATTGTGTGCATCATCTTATTCTAAATATTGTGAGAGAACACAAAAGTGAATCAGTCTGTACAATCTTCATGCACTACCAATAGGCAGTCAGGAGCTTCCTTCCAAGTGCTGCTAAGGTAACATTTGAAGAGTTTCTAAAGACAGGCTCACATTGGTGCCACAATTTCAGAAAGGACAGGAAGAGACATGATTTATGGGGAAGAAAGGCTGAGATTGTATTAAACACACAGACAAAGGTGCAGTCAGTCATTGCTTTGCTAAATTCAGTGGCTTCTCGCATGAGGGCTCCAATGCAGGTTGCCAGTGCCCTCAAAGGACCCATCAAATGACTTATCCCTGCTGGGGCATCATGGCCCCACTGGGAGTCCATATAACCTCTCTTTAGGTGCCTCTCTTTGGGGATCCAACCTGGGGTGATGACACAGCTCTGTTCTTGCTGGTTCTTAGTCATTTTGGCCCCATGCCACAGGTACGACCACAAACCATGCAGCTGCTGGAGCCTTAACTGCTTCCCCCGTGCTTCCAGCCTCCTGGCTCCTGGCTCCGAACGGTCTGGACTCCCCGAAACATGTGTTAAAGCTAAAGACTAAAGATGACATTTAAAGGTCAGCATTGACCATTTCATTGCTGATCATTTTAGTGGATGGAATAGGTTGGGAGTGAGTGGGACTGAAGCTCCAAGAGTCAGGATTGGGAGTTGCTGCAGGGAAAGAAATGCAGAGAGAAGAGGAGAGACACAAAGTCAGGAAAGAGGGAGAAAAATAGAGAAAAGAGAATGGGAAAGAAAAGCAGCAAAGTGCATGAATAGAGGTGGGAGACCTTATTTTCTGAGTGAAAGAAACTGAATGGAATAAAAATTAAAGTTTAGTTAATAAAGGCCTTATAGATAAAGCCCAGATAAAAGAGGATGCTTCTGCAGTTGGGTTTGCGCCCCACTCAGGTAAAACCCTAATGCAATAGAAACAGTTCAGTTAAACCAAAAATTGGAGGACAGTAGAGGCAGATGGAGCTCAAAACCCAAGTATGACAGAGCCCAGGGAAAGTCAAAAGGAAGCTGAGATCTCAAGACATCCTATTCTGATCTCTACAAGAGTAGGCACATGGCACATACATACTTTGTGTAGTATGGAAAAACTGGCACAGGTTTCACAAGAAATGAAAAAATACCATCTGAACATACTTGGCATCAGTGAGATGATAAGGCCAAGATGTGGCAAGATGGTGTCTGATGGTGCTATAATCCGATATTCAGGAGCAGGAACACATGGAAGAGATATAGGAATTATTTTGAATAACCTTATAGCAAGACCCTGCTGGCTTGGGAGCCAGTAAACAACAGAATAACAACAGCCAGGCTGCAAACAAGATGTGTCAAGTGTACAGTAATTCAAATATATCCACCCACAAATGCAGCAGGTGACAGTGAATTGGATATATTCTATGAGCAGATGCTGTCAGCCCCAGGGTGGGATGAGGGGCTCCAGTTGACAGCCCCAGAGTGAGGAGGAGCTCCAGCTGTCAGTGCCCACAATGCCCCAGACAGTTAAGTTGGTGGAAATGCTCCTAGTGTAGATGCACACCCCCAACAGAAGGAGCATAGTGTGGACGTGAAACATTGCTTTAATTACTGCAGTGGCTGTATGCTGACGTACTTAATTTTGTAGTGTGGACATGAGTGTAACCAAGGGACAGGTGTCTATGTGAATCTGCAGAAATTCTGGAATAATTGCTCAGAGAGATGTGAACTGACTTAATCATCTCAATCAGGACTTTACTCAGAGGCCAGTGATGACCATAGTGTAAATGTCAACATTGTTAAATATTTCATTTCTTATGTGGGAACAGATAGGGAGGATCACAGATCTGCACAATTTACTGAGCAGGCCTCTCAACAGGTAAATTTGGGAGATACCACCAATTCCCTCCTTCCCATTAAGAAAAATGCAAGCTGAAGGAGCCTACCGGAGCCCATGGACATAGTGAAGCCTCATCTAGGGAAGCCAAGATCAAGGATCCCAGTAGAGCTCAGATGAACACATGATCACATTTTGAACATCTACACAGCCTAGTCAGCAGTATCTGATTTTGGTGACTCACACAGGAGGAGCTTATTTTGTGGTTGGAACTTTGTAGAGTACTGCCTCTTCCTCCCACCCCCCATCTGATTCCAGACTGCAACCTTGGAAACACAGAAATATGTTTATGGAGTGATCAGAGCAGATGGCAGAGACAGTCCCATGTTTTGACAATCAATACACACAATTTCAATTTAACAACTGACAGCAGAGTTGAACAAATAATTAATGATGAATCATTTATCTGATAACATTTTCCTTTTTTTCTATTTGCAAAATGTCAGTGAACAGATTGTCGTTTTCTCAGATATATTTGTTATTCAGAATTATTTAATGTATTTCACAAAACTCAATTATTTTGCAATTTGTTATTCAGAATCCAAAATTCGATATGTGTTGATTAGATTTATCACAAAAGAACCATGCTGCCATTTCTGTTCACTGACTGGATAAGTGTTATAACACAATCAATTTGCTGCTACAAACGCTCGTGGAAAACCAATTACTATATTAATTTCTGTGAATACTCACATGTGCAATGTTAAATTTCACTTACCAGGAACAATTGCGCTAATAACAGTCAACCACATGGGTGTTTATAGACAGCAACCGCTAAAGGAGCAGGAACGTGTCTGAAGTCATTAAAAAAAACCAACCTCGTACAAATATCCCTGAAAATATGCTTACAGGCTAGTATTCACTCCTCCATATATAAGTAATATGATCATCCCAAACAGCGATAGTATCTGTGGTGCCCAACCATCATCAGCATTTCACAAAGAACACTCAGAGCAGAACAAATGCAAAACAGATTATAAGGAAAATTTACGGTTTTGTACATATTTTCAATAGTGGTGGGGGGAAACGACTATCCAGTCAACACGCATGGTTCAATGTGTGCTTGGGTTCAGCATAGCGGCTCATGGGTGGGGATGAAGTAACTAAATGTATATCAATGATTTAAACCAAAATCGGATTCGATTTTCAACAAATCTAAACGCAAACAGCAATTTTAGGGACCACTTAGTCTAATTAGGTTCAAATTAATACAGTATATGTGGCGGCATGGTATACAGGATTTGTTGGCATGAGTAGACATCTGTGGCAGATTCTATTAAAAACGCAAATAGGCCACTTATAACCGGGCGAATGCCACTCCGTTGCAGACCTGACGGGGCTTTTGCCTTGTGGATTTAAGGAGACCTGCTACAGCAGTTCATTTTCCGCCAGGCTACACCCTCCACGCTGCTATTGTACATATAGATGCTGGACCTAGGGGTGCTGCTGCACCCCCCGCCCCCCGCTTGAAATTATTTCCATTATATACAGGGTTTGCAGTTTGGATCAATGATTGTGCAAAGAGCGAGGAAAAAAACGTGCCATTTTCCTATGAAAAGACAAAGAGCCCCCGTCATTTGTTTATCCACCTAAGATATCTCCTATTCGGAACAAAATGTGACAAGGTAACCGAAAGCCCAGCCGACTGACATTTGCTTAAAACGTTATGTTACCAAAGATTTACCTGGAACATCTAAATAACCAGATAAAATGACGTGTAAGGAAAAGGAACAACAGCTCTCCTAAACCTTTAAAAATCATACAGACAGAGGCTTGAGAGGCTGTTGCAGAGGGCAAAGGTATCTCTACAGTGTAACAAACTGAAAAGGGTCAGTAGACTGTGTGTGTGTGTTGTGATTCCAATTCACTCACAGACTATTAAAGAATTTTACATCTGCAGAGCTCCGAACCTGGTTTGACTACAAGAATCAATTCAAACACTTTAAGCCTGTTCTGCCAGGATTTTGCCCTGGAAGGGAAGAGACCTGCAGAAAATGCCCAACAGGCTGTGGGCTGCGTATTGCTAAGTGTCAGGCATGAGTGGAACTCTGCTGATGGGAGAACGGTGACTCCACGGAGCCAGAGTCACACCCAAGTGGGCACATGGCAACCGAAAAACTACAGGATGGGAATCAGCTGAGTAACCCAACGGCTTTGTCTTGGAGACTCCTGTGCCCAAAGGAAAATGTCCATCCCTTCCAACAACGGGAGAGAAGGGGAGGCGAGCTCCCTGCTGCCCAGCAATGAGCTGTCCTTGCACAAGGTGCAGCTCACTGCGCTAGTCCACCAGACGGTAAGGGACTGTCTGTGAACTTGTACCCGATCCCCCAAGGTTGGGCCCGGATGGGCGGCAGGGCTGTTTGCCTGTGTCCATCGACCCTCTGGGTGCAGAGCAGAGCTCCCGGGGCCAAGTTCCGGTGGGTCTCACTTGTCCCGGTGTGACTCCGGAGTCACTCCACAGGCGGCCGGGTTTACACGGGTGCCTGGGAATCCTGGCGGCGCCCCGCGCATCTGCTTGCTGCTGCCCTCTGGCAATTTAGCAGCGAGGCCGCCAGCCTGGCGCTCGCTCCCTCCCCGCAGGGTCGCCCGCCCAGGCCACCCAGGCAGCGCGGGCCTGCCCAGTGCTCACGCGCTCGCGGAAGGGTTTAAAGCGCGCGCGGGGCTCGCGGCGCTGTCACAGGCACCAGCCGCAGCAGCAGCGCCGCCAGCCAGGCCCCGCGCTGCAGCTCCCCGGGGGTGGGTTGTCTTCCCCCGGCTCCACCGCCCCGCCCCAGGCTCTGCCTTGGGCCCCGCCGGGAGCTCCCGGGGCTGGGCCGCAGGGGTCCGTGCCCGGGCGCAGGAGAGCCCGCCCTCCCCACGCGAGCCCCGCGCAGGTGCCCCCGGTACCGCCGCTCCACCTGCCGGCCCGGCGCCAGCGACACCCCCGCGGCTTGGCCACCGACGCCCCTGGCTCCTGCTGACCACACACCGGGCCGCCGGCGGGAGGGGGCGCCTTGTTAACCCTGCCGCTGCCGAGCCTTGCGCTGAAGTTCTCTTCCCTCTCCCCAGGTGCCCCTGTGCGCGGCCGCCATGGCGCCTGTGCTGATGCTGCTAGGTGGGTAGCGCCTTCGCCTTCCCCCGGGCGCCGCGCCCCGCCTCCCCGCGCGGCCACCCGCTCCGAACCCCCCGGCCAGGCGCGCCCTGCACCCGGGGGCCGCCCCTGAACCCCGCTGTCTCTCTGATTACAGGTGGCTTCCTGCTGGCCAGCCCGGTGCGGGCAAGCGACGGCTCGGGTGAGTTGATCTTCTCCGTTATTTCTCAAAGACTCCGTTTTTTACATAGGACCCTTCATGGGTCTCCAACTGATGGTGCCTCTAAAGAGGGTCTCTGCAGGGCTGAGCCAGTTCGACACATTAGCAATCATCTCCCTGTGCAACCCCGGCCGTATATTTCCAGCGTAGGGCTTCACTAAAGGGAGCTCAGCAACTGCTAAATATAAATGTGTGCTTGGTTTTTCCAAGTGAACAGTAATTTTTGTATTTAGCTTTGTTTCAAGCGTCTAATAGTGGCGCGTTCAAGCATCTCGGGAGCCGCTTTAATAGTCACACACCGAGTGCAACTTAAACCAAGTACAAAAGAAGCATATCTTGCGCGTGTAGTATCCTTTTCTATCTCCCCTGAAAATGTCTTACTTTAACTGTGATAGGGAAATAATTCTTTGTGTATGGGTTACAGGGAATTTGTTTATTCTGTGAGCCTAAGGTAAGAAATGACTGAACACACAGTAGCCTTTTCTCTTTTATGTAAAGACTAGCACCAATGTGTGGTTGCTTTTTGCATAGTATTAGCAGATTCTTTTAAACACGCAAATATTCAAACTACAATCACATTGATGGGATCACATCTCAGAGCTCATAAGACTATTTGTTTGCTGAATCTAGCTGCTAGCTGCCTCTCTTTACCCTTTCATGCTGTCCTTGGGTTACTGAGCCACTACTACCTGCTCCCCAGTTAAGGCTGCAGCAGCATTTCTGTTCAAAACTGTATGTCAAAGTGCTCTGAAATCCACATGTATAAATTGAAGGAAGAAAACAATGCTGTTTCCATATGGGATGGGACGTAGCACCAACCTTTCCTTCCCTGCATACTCTCTCGCGGGTTGTGAAAGAGAATTTTGTGATGGGTAACTGTTAACTAATACTTCCTTGTGAACTTACATTATCCTCCTGCCCTCTAGCCAAAAAGTAAAATAAACAAAACACATCTTGAAAATGGGATTATCCAGATACAGTGATGCACAAGAAAAATATTGGTATTTTATTTTCATTATTTCATTGTTTGGTACCAATAGTGTGCTACGTGTTTAACAGACAAGATACCTGGTCCAAAAAGCTAATAAACTAAACAGATCAAACATGGGAGATAGCATACATCAAAAAGTAAAATGACTAAGCACTGTTGTATAGAACGTACGTTTGTTTCGTTGGTTCCATATTATTTTGACATAATTCTTTGAGGGGAGAACATAGGTTTGTAGCTATATGACAAGACTTGTCTTTTAAAAGTGAGAAGCATAGAAGGAGATGGAGAGGGTTGGTATTTCCAGTATTTAAAAAAAAAAAAAAAATCAGTACAGGATAGGTTCAAAAACTTTCAGGAGGCAAAGGTATCAAACTTCTCTATAGTGTAACAAATTAAACGGTAAATATAGTCGTGTATGGATATGAGAGAGTAAGAAACACTCACAGAGCTTAAAAAGAATTTGACATCAGAGAACCTCCAAACATGTTATGACTATAAGAATCAATGCAAGCACTTTAAGTATGTTCTGCCATGATTTTACCCTGGAAGGGAAAAGACATACAGAAAGTGCCCAACACACTGTGGGCGGCATATTGACAAGTGTCACGGATGAGTGCAACTCCACTGTTGGGAGAACGGTGACTCCATGAAGCCGGAGTCACACCCAAGTGGACACATGGCAGTAGAAAAACTAAAGAAGGCAAATCAGTTGAGCAACTAAGGAGTGCAACCACTGTCTTGGGGACCATGTTGCCAAATGAAACTCTCTCCATTCCCTCCATCAATGGGAGAGAAGCGAGGGCAAAAGAAAGGAGCATGAATCCCTCCTGTCCAGCAATGAATTCGTGAAAGCAGAACTCTGTCCTGACCCCAAATGGTGAGTGACTTCAAATTTGTATGTATAATACAAGAATTTCATTTGCTATTTTTGTTTATTTGTTTTAACTTTTGGCAAACTCTTTAATGTTAGTATGATGGCCTGATGTCCAATTGCTAGACACAAATCTTTACTGAGGACCTCCTAACTAGGCAGCAATGCAGAAACTAAACCAGGATCAATTTTGCCCATTTCTTTTGCAGGTACATTTAAAGAGAGGGAATAGCTTGTGACACTGGCAGGGAACAATAGAAGAACTCTTTAGGATCCTTCCTAACTAGGATAAAGTCCTGTAAATTAAAGGTATCTGTCAAAGCAACTAAAGAGATATTAAAGGGACACTGACAATTTAATTTATGCCCTTAGGTTTTCTTTAAATGGCTTTCCATAAGAAATTTGCATTCATTTAAAAAAATGAAAATAAATTTAAAAAATATTTCCCCACCCACACTCACTCAACAACATGACATTAGCGCATCAGAAGTTTGGGGCAACATTTTCAAAACCACCTACATCCCATTTTCAAAAGTGACTTAAGAACCTAAGTCTCACTGAAAGTCAAAGGGATTTAGACTCCCAAATCACTTAAGTGCTTTCAAAAATGTTTACTCTTGATCCTACTCCCATTTAAATCCATAGGAATATTTCAGATTACTTCAATAGGAGCTGGATTAGGCTCGAGAGGCCACAAATGGAACTGACCGTATCTGCCCAATCCTAGAAACACCTGTGTATGTTGATAATTTGTTAGCTGGTCTTCGTTAACCCTAGACTGTTCAAAAGGAAACAAAAAACAGTATAAATGAAATGTCAAAACAAAACCCAGCCAACATAGCCATGACCATCTAACACATTTTTAAACCCAGTTATCCTTGTCTGTGCTCAGGGCAAAATTGGGTTTAACATTGTATTAGTATAAACCTGTTAGTTAACACATTTTCCAACATGATGCATTTTCCCAGTATAGACAAGACCGGTGGGACTATTTATCTGTGTAATTTAAACACACGCTTGTTTGAAGGCTCAAGGCAGAAAAGGAAAGTGAATACTTCAGTTTCACTGTCCAAGCAGTAGAAAAATGTCAAAAGGAAAAAAACATCATAAGCAGTGACATGACTCAAAGCTATTTTACTCTTTATAATCCCTGGCTTTATAATAGTTTACAATGAAACTGTTCTTTAAATATATTGGGACAGATTCTGCTCTCTCCTATACCCAAGTAACACAGGGCAACATAGCCCAACATTTGGTTGTGGCTTTTACCTTGATAAGACTCCCTTTAAATGTTTAGTGACTCTTGCTCGAAAACTGTGTGAAAGTTGTTCATTTTTTGCAGTAATAAGTAGCAGAACTGTATAGTGAAAAGATGGTAATTTAGGAAAATATTGGATAGAAGAGACTCAGACTTTAACGTCAGAAGGGACCATTATGATCATCTAGTCTGACCTCCTGCATAATGCAGGCCACAGAATCTTACCCACCCACTTCTGCAATAAACCTCTCACCTATGTCTGAGCTATTGAAGTCCTCAAATCATGCTTTAAAGACTTCGAGGTGCAGAGAATCCTCCAGCAAGTGACCTGTGTCCCACGCTGCAGGGGAAGGCAAAAAATCCCCAAGGCCTCTGCCAATCTGCCCTGGAGGAAAATTCCTTCCTGACCCCAAATATGGCGATCAGCTGAACCCTGAGCATGTGGGCAAGATTCACCAGCCAGACACCCAGGAAAGAATTCTCTGTGATAACTCAGATCCCACCCCATCTAACATCCCATCACAGGCCATTGGACCTATTTACCATGAATATTTAAAGATCAATGAATTGCCAAAATCATGTTATCCCATCATACCATCTCCTCCATAAACTTATCGAGCTTATTCTTGAAACCAGATAGGTCTATTGCCCCCACTGCTCCCCTTGGAAGGCTGTTCCAGAACTTCACTCCTCTGATGGTTAGAAACCTTCATCTAATTTCAAGTCTAAACTTCCTGACGGCCAGTTTATACCCATTTGTTCTTGTGTCCACATTGGTACTGAGCTTAAATAATTCCTCTCCCTCCCTGGTATTTATCCCTCTGATATATTTATAGAGAGCAATCATATCTCCCTTCAGCCTTCTTTTGTTAGGCTAAACAAGCCAAGCTCCTTGAGTCTTCTTTCATAAGACAGGTTTTCCATTCCTCGGATCATCCTAGTAGCCCTTCTCTGTACCTGTTCCAGTTTGAATTCATCCTTCTTAAACATGGGAGACCAGAAACTTTACACAGTATTCCAGGTGAGGTCTCACCAGTGCTTTGTATAACGGTACTAACACTCCTTATCTTTACTGGAAATACCTTGTCTGATGCATCCCAAGACCGCATTAGCTTTTTTCACAACCATATCACATTGGCAGCTCATAGTCATCCTGTGGTCATCCAATACTCCAAGGTCCTTCTCCTCCTCTGTTACTTCCAATTGATGCGTCCCCAGCTTATAACTAAAATTCTTATTAATCCCTAAATGCATGACTGTACACTTCTCACTATTAAATTTCATCCTACTACTATTACTCCAGTTTACAAGGTTAACCTAGATCTTCCTGTATGATATCCCAGTCCTTCTCTGAATTCGCAATACCTCCCAGCTTTGTTTCATCTGCAAACTTTATTAGCGCATTCCCACTTTTTGTGCTGAGGTCAGTAATAAAGAGATTAAATAAGATTGGTCCCAAAACCGATCCCTGAGGAACTCCACTGGTAACCTCCCTCTAGCCTGACAGTTCACCTTTCAGTATGACCTGCTGTAGTCTCCCCTTTAACCAGTTCCTTATCCACCTTTCATAATTTTCATATTCAATTTTAATATCCCCATCTTTTCCAATTTAACTAATAATTCTGCATGTGGCACCGTATCAAACGCCTTACTAAAATCAAGGTAAATTAGATCCACTGCATTTCCTTTGTCTAAAAAAAATCTGTTACTTTCTCAAAGAAGGAGATCAGGTTGGTTTGGCATGATCTACCTTTTGTAAAACTATGTTGTATTTTGTCCCAGCTACCATTGACCTCAATGTCCTTAACTACTTTCTCCTTCAAATTTTTTTCCAAGACCTTGCATACTACAGATATCAAACTAACAGGCCTGTAGTTACCCGGATCACTTTTTTTCCTTTCTTAAAAATAGGAACTATGATAGCAATTCTCCAGTCATACGGTACAACCCCTGAGTTTAGAGATTCATTAAAAATTCTTGCTAATGGGTTTGCAATTTCATGTACAAGAGCTATGGAATGTGTGAAGCATCCTAGGGGTATCCAGGCATCTCACGACTGCCTGCCCTTAGCATGAAACAGCTATGTCTGTGCCTGCTGTGGGTCCATTCTCTGACACCAGTGGCCTCTAGCAGCAAAAGTACTGCCTTCCAGACCCCTGCAGGTCTCACTCCCTCTGTTCAGGCACAGACCCATGCCCGAATACTCAGTGTTCCTGCAGCATCCAGCCCCTTTTCCACTGAACACTCACAGGATTACCAGGTCTCCTGTTCCCAAAGGAACAGTGTACACCATCTTGTAACTCAGGACAGCACTTTGCTTAGCACCACAGCACCTAGATATATTTATAGTGAAAACAGTAAAACATGTATTGTCAAAGACTAGAGATTCAAATAATAGCGAATAAGAATTTTGGAGACAAATGGTATAAAACATATATAAAAAAACAAAATAACTCACTTTCTAGAGACTAAACTAGCAAGTTACTCTTTTATCTAAAGAAACTTAACTCACCCTAAATTTTACAGCATTTTCAACCAAGCCTGGCCTAAACCCCTCATTTATGAAACAAAAGTGCTGTCCTTTTTCTTCCTCAGTGGAGGGTGTCTGTTCAGGCTCTGCCCCACCCAATATACTCAAGCAAACCTCCTGTATGCACCTCAAGATAAAGTTCTCTCTCTCCACTGTGTTTCCCTTTCTGGCCGTTCTTTTTTACATCCTTCATTTGTATTCATTTCAGACTGGTGATAGGGGACCAGTTCTGAATGAAACAATACTCAGTCCACATGTAAACAGACAGATGGATAAACATTTCCTGTCTAAAAGATAATCTGTTTTTCACCTTTGCTGGTGACTAACACCTTGATGCAAACTTTAAGAACATATATTCTAAATATATTAGGACTGTCAATTAATCACAGTTAACTCACACAATTAACTCAAAAAAATTAATCGTGATTAATCACAGTTTTAGTCTCACTGTTAAAAAAACAATGCCAATTAAAATTTATAACATTTTTGCATGTTTTTCTATATTTTCAAATATATTGATTTCAGTTACAACACAGAATACAAAGTGTCCAGTCCACACTTCATATTATTTTTATTACAAATATTTGCACTGTAAAAATGATAAAAGAAATAGTATTTTTCAGTTCACCTCATACACTACCTTAGTGCAATCTCTTTATTGTGAAAGTGCAGCTTACAAATGTAGATTTTTTTTGTTACATAACTGCACTCAAAAACAAAACAATGTAAAACTTTAGAGCCTACAAGTCCACTCAGTCCTACTTCTTGTTCAGCCAATCACTAAGACAGACAAGTTTGTTTACATTTACAGGAGATAATTCTGCTCACTTCTTATTTACGTCACCTGTGAGAACATGCTTTTGCATGGCACTTTTTTAGCCAGCATCGCAAGGTATTTACGTGCCAGATATGCTAAACATTCGTATGCCCTTTCTTGCTTCAGCCACTATTCCAGAGGACATGCTTCCGTGCTGATGACGCTCATTAAAAAAATAATGTGTTAATTACATTTGTGACCGAACTCCTTGGGAGAGAATTGTATATCTCCTGCTCTGTTTTACCCACATTCTGCCATATATTTCATATTACAGCAGTCTCAACTGATGATCCAGCACATGTTGTTCGTTTTAAGAACACTTTCGCTGCAGATTTGACAAAACACAAAGAAGGTACCAATGTGAGATTTCTAAAGATAGCTACAGCATTCAACCCAAGGTTTAAGAATCTGAAGTGCCTTCCAAAATCTGAGAGGGATGAGGTGTGAAGCATGCTTTCAGAAGTCTTAAAAGAGCAACACTCTGATGTAGAAACTACAGAACCCGAACCACCAAAAAAGAAAATCAACCTTTTGCTGGTGACATCTGACTCAGATGATGAAAGTGAACATATGTCGGTCTGCACTGCTTTGAATAGTTATCGAGCAGAACCCTGCATTAGCATGGCTGCATGTCCTCTAGAATGGTGGTTGAAGCATGAAGGGACATATGAATCTTTAACGCACCTGGTACGTAAATATCTTGCGATGCCGGCTACAACAGTGCCATGTGAACACCTTTTCTCATGTTCAGGTGACATTGTAAACAGCAAGCGGGCAGCATTATCTCCTGCAAATGTAAACAAACTTGCTTGTCTGAGTGACTGACTGAACAAGAAGTAGGACTGAATGGACTTGTACATTCTAAAGTTTTACAGTGTTTTATTTTTGAATGCAGTTATTTTTTGTACATAATTCTACATTTGTAAGTTCAACTTTCATGATAAAGAGGAGATTATATTACAGTACTTGTCTGAGGTGAATTGAAAAATACTTCTGTTTTTTATAGCACAAATATTTGTAATCAAAAATAAAGTGAGTACTGTACACTGTGTTGTGTGTTGTAATTGAAATCAATATATTTGAAAATATAGAAAATATGTAAAAATATTTAAATAAATGATATTCTGTTATTGTTTAACAGTGCAATTAATTGTGTGATTAATCACACAATTAATTTTTTATTAGTTTCACAGCCCTAATATATATATACATAATTCTTTACATAGCATCTGTACAAACATTTCACAATGACGTTGATGTTGGGTGTGACACTTGCTTTCATTTGAGACCTCACATGGCATTCTTTGGTGAACCAGAATGCACATACCAGAATCAGGAGATTCCTGTAACCCTTTTGCATTCCCTTGCCAGTTGGCATTAAGAGGTCCTGGGGTCACAAAATGTTGAAACGTATGGTGTGGTTATTTGATGGATGTCATAGGAGAGAAGACAGACTTCAACGCCTTTGTAATAGGTTCTCCCTTGTCTTTTGTAGGCCCAGCATTGAAGCAAGACATCCATCCTTATCTTTCTACATGGAACTTCCTCCATTAAATCATGTTTAAATCAGGAAGAAATACAATGTGTCTCTACATGATATTCTGAGGTGTTGTGTTTCTGTGAAGTATAGAGAGTGTGTGTAAGCCACGATAGAGTGGGAGTGTGATCATTTTCTTGGCGTTTTTAAAGCCCAATCCTTCATTCACGGTGCACGCCAAACACCACTGAGAGTCTATGGGAGTTTAGAATGGGCAGGAATGGGTCTGTGATGATAAATTACAAGATAAGCTTTTCTCTTGCAACATACTTAGATTTAGAGTCTAGGTTTTCAAATTCCCATCACAAAATATTTTCATGAAATTAAGGGAAAGTTCTATCAAGTTAATTCAGAAATAGAATGAGGATCAAGTGAAAAATACTAAGGGGTGTAACTTATGGGTAACAAATGCTAATGAAAATAATTATCTACCACATCTGTTATTTGCAATTAAGCTAGGCACAGGTAAGTCAAACCACTGAATATTTAAAAGGATCTCTCTATGTTTCAAATGTTTTAATGCATTGAACAGGCTTTATCCTCCGTGCTGAATTTGGATGTGTATTTAAGAAGGTAAAAAGTTTAGCATCAAGCCAAAATGATTATTAATTTCTAAATTATTATTAATTATGCAAATACCAAATTGCTGTACTGGAGAAGAACACTACAAACATAACAGTAATATTAACTGTAACATGGGGAGACTGGTGGAGGTCTACAAATGAACATTTAAAAGTAGAGGAAAACTTATTAGACCATACAAATATGGAGAGGGTGAGAGTATGAATCAAATCCAGCTCCCGTATCTGTGGCTGCAGAGTTCTTCCTGGAAGCAGAACTGATATAGTTCTGCTGAACTAGGAAAGGAGTTGGATTGTTTGGGGGAAGGGCTATGCAAGAAATGCATACTACCATGCAGCTGAGAGAGAGATTGGGGGGGAACCAGAGGCTCTTGACTCTTTGGCCCTTCTTCTGTTCCCAAAAACCACGACTGTGATGCACGTGTGGGGGTGTGGCATGTTATCTCAGCCACCAGAGCTGAGATACCCTGTGCAGTGGCTCTGTAGCTGCACAGCAGTCTGTGGAGAGGTATCTCTTAGAGATACCAAGTGTACACCGCACTATTTGGGTTGAATACGAGGTTCCTGAATTAGTAAGTGCACCGGGAGCCAGTTTAACTGCTTGCAAATATGAGTAATGTGAATTTCAGAAAGTCAATTAAAATCAGAGTACTGAATTTTCCATAGATTATGAAGGCACATGACAAATGAAAGAGGAAAGCCAGGCAAGGGACTGTCAGGATACATCAACATTGTGGCAACAGGCACCGTTACATAGCCATGAATTTATGAAGATTAAACCAATAAGAAGATGTCACTAATTCCCTGAGATGAGCTTAAAATAACAAATTTGAAGCAAAAGGAAAATCTGTTTCTCTTACCACAGGGACAGACTAGCTCTACAGCCTTGCACACAATGGGCTGGTATGAAGCGGAGAGTAGACTATATGGTAGTCAGAGGAAAGGACCTTTAGGTTGCTCACTTGTAGTGATGGGTACAGTGGCATCTTTACATAAGTAAGATCATTGGGGAAGGGAGACTGTGGGAACCCTATTTAATGATAATACAGAGGATTTTTATAAGCATCTTATGGGTTCAGAGTTACTTATAGATTCTAACTACTTAATCCCCACAACACTCCTTTGAGCCTGGTAAGTATTTGTCCCCATTTTATAGATGTAGAAACTGAGAATGAGAAGTTAATGGCCTGAATTTCAAAGATACTTCATTTCAGTGGGAGCTGGGGATGTATTGCTCAGCACCTCTGACAATCAGGTAATCCCATGATTTATTATCCAGTCAGCAAGGGAAATGGGAATAGAGCTTTGGACTTCCAGACTTGTACTTAAACCATTATACCATGCCCCCTGCCTCATCTGCTCTTGGAAGTGTACACGGTTCCTATTGATACTAATGGGATTGGATAGGAGTATTGTTGTGACTGTAACAAAAAAGGGGGAATCTCTTAGCCTGAAGACACTTCCTTACATAATTTATAGAAGAGGAGTTATACCCTCATTGCCAGTATGCTCTTGATTTTATTTTAGCCATTTGTTTTCATGGAAATATTTAGTAAGATTTTTGGACCTGCTACTTTTTAATCTGAAAATCATATAAAACTATTTACATGAAAAAAAAACCCAGTCTGGATGAAACGTAACTTGTTTGTTCAAGTACAATTGCCTTACTTACTGGAAATATTTTTGAGGCATGTGGCATGATTTTTCTGAATAATAATACCCTGTGGCTTAGGCTCTGACCCAATGTAAGTATTATATCTGAAAGCAAGTAGTACCCAGAGTGTAGTTCAGAATTTAAGCGCCGTGGCTGTCACTTCCAGAGAATGGGTGCACTAACAATTTGCTTAGTTCTGTATAAGACACAAATTTTAAAAGTCCCTGTCCAACTATCCAAACAGAAAAGTGTTTTTTAAACAATTTCACAAAGCTTAGAGTTCCTCATTTCACTCCTTTCCGCCCATTTTAAATCTCTCATATTATGGGTTTAATTTTCAAAATATCAGATGCCAAGGCTCATCTGCAAAACCACATGCACAATTGTATGCCTATCTGGTACACACAATTACTGTGATTAAATGTATAATTTGGTATTTGCACACAGAAATATTCAGAAAGTTATCTCACAACTCCTGCATTTCTGTTCCTACCACTTCTGCTATTTTGAAAATAAGGCCCTTACTGGCAAATACATTGATAAAAATCTAGAACACATTTATAAAATAGTAAATGAGATAAAATATGTGACTTTTTGGTTGGTCTCACTGCCATACATTATATTCAATATGATAATGAAAAACAGAATTGTTTGCTGTGATCCCAAGGTAAAACACTTTTAGTGATAGCGTCACATGTGATCTCTGCTGCAAGTATGAGTGATATGGGCAGGGTCGTCCCAGAGGAGGAGAAAGGGGAGTTTGCCCCAGGACCTCCTATTTGAGAGGGCCCCAAAAGTGAGTAGTGTTGCAACCTGGTGCACCGGGTCACAGCAACACTCACTGAAATTTGGCCCAGCAGCCCCTCTGTCATGATGGCCAGGTCACAACGCTCAGAGTAGAGTCCCTCAGAACACGAATCAAGCTGCTGCTGCTGCTGCAGGGTGGACCCCCGATTCCCAACCCGGGCCTCCTCTAAGGGTGAGGGGGCCTCAGTTACAGAGTTAGTCCCAGACCCCCCAAAACATCTGCAGCCCTGGGTATGTGAAGTTGGTGAAGAACTATTTTATATGCTCTAGGAAGTTACTGGGCAAGTTCAATGGCCTACAGGAGGTAAGACTACATGACCACAATAGCCCCTCTGGCCTTGAAATCTATTCAGATCCAATTAAGATGTTTTTGTCTTCATGCTGGTAGAATTTCTACATTTTAGGCATATAGGCTGAATAGCTGATGATACAGTAGTTAACAGAGAAGAAAAAAATCTGTTGCGAAGACGTCAGGGGCAAGATTTGTTCTTAGAAGGTCACTGACGGTATTGAGTCAGGGGTCAGATTGTGAGGCAGAAGCGATGTTAGCCTTGAAAAAATCCCAAATTTGCCACACTCGCACACTAGTTGGATGTGCTACATTGACTGGGGATAGAATAGTTAATGATGTTGCACATTTAGTACCAAGTTCTCATGCAAAAATGCGTGCACAGGAGTGACCCTACATTTGTGTGCCGTTACCAGGCGTATATTTGCCTATGATAAGTCATCTAAAGTCATTGTATGACTAATTGCCATTCACAGTAATTGTTCATACAGTGTACATGCAAGGCTTTCAGATTTTCAGTTTTGAAAACTTGCCCCTTATGTAACCATCATTATACTTCAGAATTAACATAATACAGCATATTGAGAGAAATAGAGCAGTTCACACATTTCAGAAGTATTGGTTCTCTCTCTGAAGATGAATTATGACATAGGTTCATATTTGAAAAATGTCTTCACCAGTTCAAGAATTTACCAAGTAATATTTTTGGTTTTTAATAAAAAAATAAAATGTGTAGACATTGATGGAGATAAAAGAGAAGTGCTAATATGGCATACTGCCTCAACCGGACCCCCTACATCCAGTTAAGTCATTTGACTATCCATTTCCATTATGTCGAAATATCTTGTAAAGTAACTTGGCTTTCCTTTAGTATACTTACATAATAGAAAGCCTTTCTGGAAAATAGCTTAAGGTACTTGTGATATGCACAGCTGTATTTGGGAATCTCCGAGAGTGGGAATATATTTGATGCAGGGAACTGTCTACAGTAACTGAAGTAGTATATTGGATGTTGTGATTTCCTTTCAACTTTATTTATTATTTAAATATTTAAGTAAAGTGTCTTGTAAATGCTAATCTTAATGATGGTTTATGGTATATTTTAACTACTATACAAAATGTAATGTACTGTCTGTTAAATAGTGATTGTTGCTAAAAAGAGAGAATAATATGCCTGAGCTAACAATAGAAAAAGAAGAAGTAAGACACAGCAACTTCCCATGGGACAAAGGCATGTGACTCACTGAGGTGCTTTTCAAAATCCCAGCCAAAGACAAACATGAAGTTTTCACTTTGCCAAGTTACATTTTATCCGTGTCTATTGGCCACGTGGTTGACTTGTTTTCACTGAGTCCTTCATCATTAAGGATGACATTTTTTTAAGCGACTGATAAAAGCAGCTTCAGTTACTTGCACTAAGCTTTCTATACTGTCCATGAAGACTAGGGTGACCAAAAGTCCCCATTTTATAGGGACAGTCCCGATAGTTGGAGCTTTTTCTTATATAGGTGCCAATTACTATCTGGTCACCCTAATGAAGACAAGCTCTGTGAAGCTCAAAAGCTTGTACCTTCCACAAACAGAAGTTGGTCCATTAAAATATATTACCTCACCCACCTTGTCTCTCCTATACTCTCCATGGCAGTGGTTTACATGTCCTAGAAATAGGTAGTATTGCAATAATAGACCTAATTCACTCTTGCTGGGGCAGACAGATGAATATCTAACCTCACTGCACTGGCCTCAATTTTTGTGATAGTCTTACTGGGATTGAAGTGAAGTGAAGATGGTACCATTGTCACCTTCTCTTATAAATTCCATCTTGGATGGTGGCTTCAGCTTCTGCTGAGAGCTTCTTAGGAGCTCTGTTGGTGGAGCTGTCCAGGGGATGGTCTGAGTCAACACATTCCTGACCCCCTTCCTTTCACGGACAGTGCTGGCCACTTTTAAGATTCACTGGCTCTGAGCAGCCGTAATAGAGAAAGCTGCTGCCGCTGCTGCTTTGAACTGCTGTTGCCTTTCTCCTCCAATGCCCACCAGCTTTCCACCATCATCTGTGTTGTCCTCTGCTGAATGTAGTTCAGTGCTTGCAATCATTTATTGTTGGTTCTTTTTCCAACATGACTGTGAAACAAGCGTGTGTAATCTTCCTTGTCATTGCCCATGAAATATGCTGTGAGCAAATCCTTAAAGCCAGACTGCAGTACAAGACAATACTGTAGCTTAATTTGAAATTAAAATGTGTGCTTTAAGCTGAGATATGGTGGGTAGATTTAAAATGATCCTCCAGATTCATTTTAATAGGCTGTTCAAGCCTCAGAGCTCAAATTTTTCTTTTCCTCTTTAGCCCCCACTACCATCACATGCCTTACAAGGGGAGTTGATCTCAGAAAGGAGAGCGCAGATGTCCTCTGTCCAGCAGACTGCCCGCTATGGCAGTTCTATGTCTTTGGGAATGTAGTTTATGCCTCCCTTTCCAGCATCTGTGGAGCTGCCATTCACAGGTAAGCTAGAAGACCACTAATCAAGATGACAAGGAAACATATTTTAGAAAGGAACTGTATTTTTCAGTTGTAACCTTTGGCTGCCATCCGAATTATAGATATTCCTGACAATTCTCAAAACACACCAACAGAATGTCATTAAAAGACTTCAGGTCAAATATAGCTTGGAGTAAGTGGCTGTAACTTTCATGAAATCTCTGGGACAAATTCAATAGTGATAAGGATAGAAAGGTGCTCTTAAAAGTAGAGCAACTTGCACTAGCCTGGCAACTGGTGCGCAATGAGTATAATTTATAGATATGGGAGGTAGAAGTGAGGAGACTATAGCCTGAGAAGTTACTAATTGGAAGGTGTAAGATAAAGCAGGCTTCCTCTCTCTCCTACATTCTTATGCCACACCATTCAAAACACTGCGCAATTCAAATTCAGCCCCAGTGTAAAGCTGACACAACAATGATCAGGATGAATTTACTGCAGGCAGCATACAAGCTCAGTGTTAATCAATTGATATTACATTAATTTACCAGTTACATTTGTTTTCATGACTACAATTTACACTTGATGTGTAATTTACACCACCACTTATGTCACTGCAAAATTTTGCCCATGAATCTGGGTATTTGGATAGCAAGCAAGGGATTTTGAATATATTTTTAATTACGGTCACTATATGGGCCATCAGGTATTTAGTGTGGGTTAGAAACGTTTAAGTATTTTGAATATAATTTTTAAAAGAAAGAATGTGTTTTCTTTTAAGGGTAATTAATTATGGAAGTTCGGCAATGTGGCATGTTATGACCTTAAAACAAAATTACTCAAATTATGGTGTAGTTTTTGTGCACTGTGTAGCTCTTGGAGTTAAAACTTGGGGGATCATCTATGTTCTAAAGCTTTTGAGGAAGGCTTTGTCCCACTGCATGTGATTAACAATGCTTGTAGCATAAATTTCAGTCAAAGATTCTGCACGTACGTAAAAAGTACTTATTTTGTTAAGTTTACAGGTAAACCAGCCTCTTACTCACTTCAGATCAACAAGTAGTATTTGAATAGTAAAATTCATCACTTGTAGTCTAAGGGACCAGTCCTGCTCACAATTACCGCTGAACAGAGTACAGTGAGAGTTTTACTGACTTCAGTGTGAGCACTCAAAGTAGTAACTACTACACTCAGAAGAAAGTTTGCTGGAACACAGTTCTGAATTTTCCAGAGTCAAATTCTTGTTTTTCGGATGATCCCAAATTATTGTGGTTATCCATACAGCAATATGTTCTTACCTGGAGTGACTAATGCTAATTAGAAATGTATTGGTCCTTGACTCCAATTATGCACTCACATACTGCAATGATTAGGCAAGTTAGAGTAACAGTAAAGTTCTTTTGCTATTTCCAGTAATATGATTCTTGAAAGCAGCAGTTCTCAGAGGCCAAAAATATTGTGTGGGTATAGGACTCTTTTCCCCCACAGCTTAATACATTTTATTTGTTTTTATCTGTATACTCTTTCTTCCCTAAGAATGAATTATGAACATGTGGATCTTTGTCCCTCCTAGTAGCTGGTCTATAGAATATGTTAATAAGTCTGCCACTTTTCCAGCTATGCAATATAGTCTTTAGCTCAGGCTCATACTATTAGCCTTAGAGGTCTCAAGTTCAAACCCCACTGCTGGCAGCAGTAGTGTCAATTACATAAGCAGAAAACTTGATAAAAATTTGTGGCTGTCTCTGTGCATCATAAAGGAGCAGATATAGGCACAACCGAACTTGTTCATTCTTGGTTTTGCTGCACAGTTCCCTTCTTTAATGCTGCATAACTCAATCTATAAATTCCATGTACGTAAAACTTTTAAAAAAAACCTCCTCACTACATCTCATATTGCATACTAATGGCACTGCATAGTTTCAGGAGAATAATCCAGCTTTAACCTCTGCTTTAAAAAGAAAAAAACCCCAACACCTAAACTTTTTTTTTTTTAAGAAATTATTATTTCTCTGGTATTTTTGCTTATTCTTTTAGGGTAAAAACTGCTCCACCTATGTAAAGCATGAGCATGGGGAGGTTGTGCTGCAGAAATTCAAACTCCCACCACACTCCCAACCAGGGTTAGGCAATGAACAATATACTACCCTCCACCCATGCACTGAACTCTTTTTCAAGTCCCAGTTTGTAGAGACATTTATTTGCTGTACAATAATATTGTGTATGTTTCTTGAAAGCTACCCAAATAGTTTGTATGCTTTTTAGTGAGTACAAATACAATACATACAGTACAGTACTTTAGATTTTAACAAGTTAATAGCACAAGAATGTGCTGGTAAAACTTTTAATGCAAGTTATTAAAGAACTGACTTCACAACCAAAAAAGAAAATTCTTCACAGTAAAACTGTATTTGAATAAAAAATAGGCCCACGTGACAGAGTTTAGATACAAATCTGGATTCAGGATTTGGAATTAACCCATCACTAATTCAGGGCTGGATTCTCCAATCCTTCCTCACATGAGTAGTCCCCTTCACTTCAATTGACTACTTGCTAGAGTAATACTATTTGACATGTTTAATGACTGTAGAATATGGCCCCATAGAATTCCCTATACTGTAACTGATGTGAGGTTTTGTGCCAATTTTGGTTAGAGTATTAAATCCTTCCTTTCTTTTTAATGTGCCTAATTACTGTTAAGAAACAGAACATCACCAGCCTTTTCCTAACTAGACAATAAAAGGTATCTCTCTGTCATGGTGAGTGGAAGGGAATCTACTGAGGATGATTATGCCTAGGCATGAGGAACTGAGTTAAAGCTACCCTTGAGACATTAATTGGATTAATAATCAGAAGGCAAAATTGAAGACCAGATCCTCAGCTGGGGTAATAGTAGCCTATGTGCCAAATTACACCAGCTGAAGATCTGGCCCAATGTGTTAATTTTTAGGTGGTAGATGCTAAACACTTTAACTTTTAAAGCCTAGTCAGAGGTGGGACATGCCTCAAGTCTGACACTGGACTCCCACACTGCCAGTGTCACAAGAAATGTCACACTTTTCACAAGTTAGCTATATTAGTCTTTAGGACACAGGCTAATCCCAAGGGGTATGAGAATTTCCTGAGTTGTGGTGTGCATTAGGAGAAAATTGGCAGAGAGTTTGTTTGGCCAGAGGAATGCACTTCTGAGCAGTTAGGTCTGTTGGGAAACTTTGGGCCACTGCCTGCTCCTGCTGGGTCTTGTTCCTAAGTCATGCCAGAAACAGAGTGCAGTGGAAGCAGAGACAACAGAACCTGTGGGGGATAGGGAGAAGCTGGCATTGAACCCAGAACAGCTGTGGGTCAAAGATGGAGAATACAGGCAGGCCAGCAGCAACAAGCTGCAGTTGGGAAGGATGCCGTTTCTTGTGGGCACAGGGGAGGAAGGAGATGGAAGGAGTTGCATCAGCAGCTAGAAGTCAGGGAGTAGGGAGAGAAAGATAGGAGCCAAGTTAATTCAGCTGTCATTGCTTGGGGTTCTGTTTTCATCCTTGGGTTCCATCAGAAATGACATCTGTAATTAACTGCTTACAAACACATTTTACAGTGTAGTCATGCTGAAAAGTTTCAGCGTAACAGCCGTGTTAGTCCATATTCACAAAAAGAAAAGGAGTACTTGTGGCACCTTAGAGACTAGTCAATTTGAGCATAAGCTTTCGTGAGCTACAGCTCACTTCATCGGATGCATACTGTGGAAAATACATCTGATGAAATGCATCCGATGAAGTGAGCTGTAGCTCACGAAAGCTTATGCTCAAATAAATTGGTTCGTCTTTAAGGTGCCACAAGTACTCCTTTCCTTTTTGCGAATACAGACTAAGATGGCTGTTACTCTGAAACCTGTTGGTAATAGCTTATCTAAAGTGATCACTCTCCTTACAACGTGTATGATAATCAAGGTGAGCCATTTCCAGCACAAATCCAGGGTTTAAACCCACCTTGATTATCATACACATTGTAAGGAGAGTGATCACTTTAGATAAGCTATTACCAACAGGAGAGTGGGTTTGTGTGTGGGGGGAGGGTGGGGTTGGGTGGGGAGAAAACCTGGATTTGTGCTGGAAATGGCCCACCTTGATTATCATACACATTGTAAGGAGAGTGATCACTTTACATAAGCTATTACCAGCAGGAGAGTGGGGTGGGTAGAGAGAAACCCTTTTGTAGTGATAAACACCCATTTTTTCATGGTTTGTGTGTATAAAAACATCTTCTGTACTTTCCACAGTATGCATCTTATGAAGTGAGCTGTAGCTCACGAAAGCTTATGCTCAAATAAATGGTGAAAAGTGCTTCTTATCATGGAAACTTTCAGGGCAAAATTCCCTTCTCAGAGGTGTCTCTTTATCCCCTCCCAGATCCTGACTTCTGTATTCTGCTCTGTCCCTGTATAGCACATGTAGATTTCCCATAAACATCAACTGTAGAGCAAAATTATTAGCATCGAAATATGCTAGGAGAAGTTTGCCTTTAGATTTTTGGACTGAGTCAAATGAGTACACACTTTTGTTAAGGGCGCAGCCTCAGCTCTGGACTCCTTGATGTTTGTGTCTTTCCACTGGACTATTGAGTGTAGTTAAAAGGTAATATCAATTTGCTTTCATTTCGACATGTTTTTTCCTGTCCTTGCATAACAACATCATTTCTATCCACTTGCATAGATGGTGTTTTGGCATCATCTTGTCCTTCCCCAGACAATTGCATCAATCTGAACATTACATTACTCTGACAGTGCTAAGCCTAGTCAAGAGAACAGGCACTTGGCATCATCTGAAATAACATTTTTTTTAAAGTAAGTAGCTTATGCGCTGCTGAGGAGAGCTGTGTGGAGCTGCTGGGCCCCTCTTCACATGAAAAGCCTGTCAGAACCATCACAAATTCCAAAGTGACTGAACATTTATCCAGAGGAAAACCATTTTTATGAGGCAAAAATTTGTGATTTCCCTTTTCTTTGAACTGTAGAACTGTTTTTGCTTACTTCTGGC